TGTAGAAGGTTAACTGTGTGTTTTGACTTAAAATCTGTCTCATATTGTCTGTTCCTCATGTTTTACTAAATAAAAAGGTGTTTGTATCAGATACAGTACTTCCTTTAGCAAACGTAATATCAAATAGTTGAGAACAAAAGAAGTACAAGTGTGACACTGCAAGTATAATGAGCATTCAGTTTGTTTGATGACTGTTCATTGAATTCTCAAAATTAATAACTTTACCATAATCTATCAGTATGCTATATTTTCCCTTTGAAGATTTTGTCCTAATTTGGAGATTGAGTGTGTTGCATTCCCTGTGTTTGTTAAGTTCATATAGGCAAATCAAAAAATTATGAACTACCTGTATCTGTTGCTCTCTCCCAACTATTTAGAGCATGAACATTTATGCTCAATGGTGTAAACTTGAAACAGAATCTAGGTGTCGTATCCAAATAGGCTCTTCATCTGGACTGAAGGAAAAGGTTTGGCAGATAATGAAGCACCAGTGTATGAGCTAATTATTTTATGAGAAATGGGTGGGAAGGGAAATCAAAGGCATAGACTTTCATTCTTTAATGCAAAAGAAACTGCAAAACTTCTTTGGAAATATGTTGGCAAAGTCATATTTGGCTATGTCTAAATTAAAATTTTTCCTGAAACTTGCTGATTGTCTCTGAAAATAGACTAGAAGGAATTTTTGTTTCAATTATAGAACATAAATCTATAGCCAGGGATAGTATTATACCCAGAAAATCATCTTCTGCTATGCTGAAAATCTTTTTGTAGATCTTTTAGATTTATATGCATTGCTCATTTAACATACTGCATCAACCCTCAAAGAGTTGTCTGCAGACAATAAAAGATCAAAGAAGTAACCTGTCCATAAGGTCAGGTGCCAGGTTTAAAACCCAGACCTTCATCTGTGGACTAACCACATGTTATAACTGATATTGTCAGCTTTCACAAGAATACAGCTCTTTGCTATTCAGATGCCACCCTGCTCTGGCTTTTTTGGATCAACTTTTTTTTTTTTTTTAAGATTGATTGATTGATTGATTTATACAAGCACTGGGTACAGTCAGAAGCGTGGGAAGGTGAGAGAATTCACCAGAGCCAGAGCGGAGAGCAGAGCAGGCAGAAGGACCAAAGTACACTGCTGAGGGGAGCAGCGGGAGGCAGGAGAGGTCTGCACGCCATGTGGGGGGAGCAGCCGGGGATTGAACCGGCACTGCAGAGGCTGCAGGCAGCCTCGCAACCCGGCGCTCAACCGCTGCGCCACCAGGGAAGCCCTGGATCAACTCTTAATAAAGAAAATTTAGAGACCTTTGCAGAAAACAACTGGAGAATAAGAAAGATTCAGGAGAGCATCTGTATTATCCCTTCTGATGATCTTGAAGTAATTAACCATTATAGAACTGCCTCAGTAAATAAAAGTGACTTGCTAGAATTAGAATGGGGCTAAGTGGTTATATGGTTTCCTCAGGTTATTATAACAAATTAACACAAAATTGATGGCTTAAAATAAAAATTTACTTTTCTCACAGTTCTGGAGGCCAAAGTCTGAAATTAGCGTCAGTAGAAATGCTGCACCCCCTTCAGCTACCCTAGGAGAGAATCCTTCCTTGCTTTTTCCAGCTTTTAGTAGCTTCATACATTCCCTGGCTTGTGGCTACATAACACCAGTCTCTGCTTCTGTCTTCACATGGCCTACTTCTCTTTCTCTTAAAGACACTTTCATTGGATTTAGAGCCCTCATGATAATCCCAAGTGATCTCATCTTCAGATCCTTAACTTCATTACATTTGCATATATCCTTTTTCCAAATAAGATCACAAATAAGGTGTTAGGCTATGAATATATCATTTCAGAGCACCATTCAGTTCATTCTGTGTAGTAGAACTTACTAGTAATTTTCAGTTCAACTTCTCTGTCACCTAAAATCCCAGATTAGACAGATTATTTAGTAGACCAAAATACCAAATGGAGAAAGGTGTTGAAAGTACAGAAGGATACAAGACTAAACTTCAGAGGAAGGTTTAGGGAATCAGTGAAGTTTTCATGGAGGCTCTATTGCTTATGACAGATCATGAAGGATAGACTTTTATCAAGTAATTGAGATAGCCAAGAATATGTAAAAATAGTGGAAATCTCAAGAACCAAGATAGGGAGGCATCTTCAGGAAACCATAACTAATACATTTAACTAAGGTGTAACCCTTAGAAAAATACTAGAGAATTGGGTTGAAAATTCCAGATCAGTTCACTGGAGACCTTTAGTACTGACTTGAATTTGTACTTTGTTCAGAATTACTTATCCATGGTAACACTGCATTACAGGGTTTCAAATATGAGCCTTCAGAGCTCTGATAAAAACCCTGTGGAGGGGGAGAGGGAAGGGTATAGATTTTTTTTTTTTTGTATTGAAAGATTTTCAGAGGAATCAATAACCCTAAACAAAGGATTAAGAACCATTCATTTATTAGAAAAGAAATCTTGTTTTATGCTTTGAATATGCTTCAAAATTTGATTATTGATTTGGTTTACTTTCAACTACTTGGAAGATAATTTGAAAATGGATCTCCAAAGAGTCTTAGTCTGCCCTCATCGTGGAATAAATTGCTAATATTATGTTGTATATTAAAAGTTAAAGGACTGTTTCAGGAGGGATGTGAAGTAGGCCCTGGGTTCTTTTAAACGTGATCAAATGATTACAACACACACAAAAGACACAGCATTCATTTCAAACTGCAGCTGTGACTTCTGTTTTCTGTGTCTCAATTTTCTTTATTTCAGTTCAGTACCACCGTCCATTTAGAAGTCCACAATTACGTAAAAGCATGACACAGTTCTGAGGAGAGGAAACAGACAGCTGCATTCCTAAAAAGGTGGTTTTTTGGGTTTTTTTTTTTTTTTTTTTTTTTTTTTTGGGACCCTCGCTGGCGGCTGGGGACTGAACTGGCACTGCAGAGGCTGCGGGCAGCCTCGAAACCCAGCGCTCAACTGCTGCGCCACCAGGGGAGGCCCTGTTTTTTTCTTTTTAATGTTTCCTGTAAAACTGCTTATTCTCTACTGGGTTTTTGGTGGAATAATCTCCTTCAGGAACAAAATTATATTTCACACAGCTGTCTAACTGTCTTGGTGTGTTTATGCTGCTATAACAAAATATAGCCTGGCTATTGTATACAACAGAAATTTCTCACAGTTCTGAGTCTGGGAGTCTATTATCTAGGCTCTGGCAGATTCAATGTCTCGTGAGACTGTTTTTGGTTCATAAGCAGCACTATTTTGCTGTGTCCTCACATGGCAAAAGGGGTGAGAGGCCTCTTATACCCTCAGGACCTAGTTACCTCTAAATGCCATCTTTTGGGATTAGGTTTCTATATGTGAATTTGGACACAAACCTTCAGTCTGTAGCATTGACTAGTTATTGATAGGAAAAAATTGATTGTTTTTCTATAACTTGCTTAATTTCTAAATAATCAGCTGCTGTGTTGATTTTTTTCTTCATTAATTCATTAATTTTCCACACAAGATTATTATTAATAGATTTGTCTCTACTGTTTTTTCAGGCTTCTCTGCTAGTGAAGTTCTCCTTTTTAATTTTTTCATTATGAAAAATTGCAAATACACTGCAGAGTAGAAAGAGTAAATCATACCTCCTATATTCCCATCACTCAGTTTCAATTATTTTCAAAATTTTGCCACATTTGTTTTCATTCTTTTTTCCTTCACATTGCTTTGTTAGGGTATTTTAAAGCAAATTCTAGGCATTTCTACCATTTCTATATGTATATCCTGATATACTTCTATTTGCATCTCTAAAAATAAGGATATCTTATAGAGCCAAAATGTCATCTTACACTTAATGCAATTAATAGTTACTCCTTGGCACTACATACAGCTAGATCCTTTTTAGGTTTGCCCAGTTGTCTTAAGACTTTTTTAGAGTTGCTTTGTTCACACCAGGGTTCAACGTCCACAGATCATCTTTAGTCATTTTTGTCTCTTACGTCTGTTATGTTCTAGGGCAATTCCTCTTCCCTCCCTCGCTCCCCACCTTTTTCTGTATGTCATGGACAAGTTTCAGGAACTGGTTATCAGTTTGTTGCATGTTTCCCTGTATTACCTACATATGGACTTTAGCTCTAGAGACTTGATTAATCTCGGATTTAAGTTTTTGGCAAGAAGGATCAAGAGGTACTTAATACATCACATCCAGAGACCTATATTTGGCTAACTCACTCTGGTAATGATCAGAGTATAGTAACTGAAGGTGAAGGTCTCTATGTTAGTAATAAATGTACTTCCCTAAGAACAAGCCACTGGTGGTCTCCATACACTGTTTCCTGGAGGAGAAAGAAATGAGTCCTTGGGAGATACTAAGATAAGAAACAAGACCAACAGAGAAAGTGTCCTCACAGAACCTGAGTATGAACCCAGGGTCTGCTCCCTTCACAATGAAATGTCACATCAGTATCAATTAAGTTTATGCTATTATATTCTTATTATATGCCAAATAAGTTTATGCTGTTATATTCTTAATGGAAGATAATAAATTTGAATCAAAATAAAAGGAATTGAATTAATCTTTTTTTAATGAGTATTCAAATGAAATTGAGTACTGTAGCAAAATGTGAATGATTGCTTTTCTTTCACAACTGAGGTGTGGTAATCTATAATGGAACGTTTCGGAGTCACTGAATTTATAACTGAATAACATCAGAGTTATTATGAAGGTAGTTTATCTCCTTTAACAGTGCTCTCCTAGTGATTGTTGTTATGCAAGGAATGGGACAGTAGAAAGAGTCAACACAAGGACAACTTATCTTGGCTACAGCATAGTTTTCTTCTTTTCATAAATATGATACCAGGTACTCTGCCAGCTTAACCTGGCTGCTGAGCTGTGGCTGGTTGGAAGTTTCCATTTCAAGGACAATCAGATAATATAAAAATAATTGTTACTACTTAACTGTTTTATGTACTTTAACTTTTTAGGATATTCTGAATATGTTATTTCTGTTAATTGTTTTAAATCAATTCTCTGTTTACAATGCATTGGTTTTTGGTATATTCACAGAGCTGTGTATTCATTATCACAATTAATTTTAGAACATCTTCATTATCATTATCCCAAAAAAGAAACATCACTCCCCTAGCCATCACTCCCCAGCTCTGGTGCCACCCCTCTCCCACAGCACACTCCCTCTGCCCTGAGTGGTCACTAGTCTACTTTCTGTCTCTATAGATTTGCCTATTCTGGGCCTTTTATATAAGCAACATCATACAGTACATGGTCATTTGTGACCAGCTTCTTTTACCTAGCATATTTTAAAGTTTGTCCAAAAACTTTTATTCAGAGTTTTCTTTGTTACATTAAGATTCTCAGAGGAACACCTATCCTGTAGGAAGAAGGATGAAGTGACTTTTTTTTCTGGTAAGGAAAATTTACTTGTGTCCCATGATTGTTTGTCAGTCATAAATGATGAGAAAAGCCCAATAAACAGTTACTATAGCTGCAAACCAGAGAATGATATTCCAGTGTAGGATATGGAAAAGAGTCATGTCCGACATTCTCTTAAGCTAGGTTTGTGTAGTGAATAACCTCATGATTGTTGGTGCTTCTTTCAGTATATATAATACATGTAATCTTTGGAACCATTGTATCTCAAACTGGTTGCACCACTGTCATTTTATTTACTATTTTCATCCTGTAACTAATTTTCCTGCTGAGTAATGCCTGAGGCTACATGTTACATGCTAATGTCTGGGGCTAGTTACATGCTTTAGTTTTTATATAAATTTGATGAGCTAAATGGTAGGTGTTTTATTTTGGGATAACAAGTAATTACATATTAGTATAAGTAACTTACTGGAATCAGAATACCTGGAAGTAAAATCCTCACAGCATATTTCCCCCAAAATTTGTGAATGTAGTTTAAAAAAATTAACCATCCTTTTGACTTTAAAAACCCCAGCTTCTCTCTGCCTTCAGGTTCTTCCTATGAAAGTAGGGTGATTGGACTGTGATACTTAGTGCTTTTAACTTATGGTTCTATGAAGATAATTAGTAAATCTATTCCTGATGGTCCCAGACTACTTCCTACATCACATCCAGAAGACTGAATTATGATATTGGATTTTCTTTCTTGTTCTAATTTGTTACCTAAATAGTATGTATAGTCTTAGAAAAAATCATATTTTTATGACCTAGAATCAAGATTCACAGCCTGATGTTCCAAATGGCCTGTTAATACAAAATAATTTAAGATAATACTTACTTAGAATAGTATGAGATTAACAGGTTCAGCTGTGAGGGACATGAGTCCAAAATAACAAATGACTTAAAACCCAATTAAAATTTATTTCTCAAGCCTCCCCAGTGGTGCAGGGGTTAAAGACAGCGCTATCAAGTTATTGGCAGCCGAGTTTGATCCCCCACCAGCCAGGGAGCAATCCACATGGTGCAGACCTCTGCTGTCTCACCCAACTGCTCCCCTCAGCAGTGTATTGTAGTAGATCTGCCTGTTCTGCTCCCCGCTCTGTCTCTGGTGAATCCTCTCACCACCACCCCTTCTCTAGTCTACACCCCAGTTCTTGTATGCATAAATAAATCTTTTTAAAAAATAAAATAAAATGTATTTCTCATTTATGTAAAAGGTGGCACAGGCATGGGATGGAGTTTCATGGATTTTGGGACCTTTTACCACTTGTGCCCATCTGCCTCTTAGCACTCTGTCCCTTTCTTGGGTATAAACCATATTCTTAGTGAGAAAATAGTCTAGCAGGATGGAGAAAGGGATGAAATAGCAAGTAGAAGACACCTTCAGTGCTTTATTAAGCAGGATTCCTAGACACTTCCATGTGCATTCTTCACATTGGCCAAAATTGAGACATACATATGACCATGCACAACTGCAAGGAAAGCTGAGGAGTATAGCCATGTGCCCAGCTAAAAATTCTAATTACAGTGAAAGGGAGATAAGACATTAGGGGATGGTAATGGTAACAGAAGGAAAACCAAGGGGTATTTGCCATTATATCTCTTCTAATAAAGAAGAGGGTTCTGTGTTTCTAGTAGCTGATATTAGAAATGAAAATGTTTCTGTAGGTGAAATGCTGACAAAGTAATGGAAACATCTCTTAAGAATATATCATTCCCCTTTCTGTAATTAGGTTCACAGAATCTTCCAAGAGAGAACTACTAGATACATTTCCTGGTTTGAATTCATGAGTTGATACTAAGATTTATGAGTCAGCGTCTTGTGAGTTTAGGTTGAATTTTTCCCAATGAGCCAGTTAGTCAGGGGGAAACTAATCAAGCAGAAAATAGACTCAACTGTAGATGTGTGACCTTATTGAGTGTATCTGCCTTATAAGGTTTTACCTGACTTGAGCCACCCATTTCTCATTCCTGATTTTGAGAGGGTGTGGGTAGATCACAAACTTGAATAGTTTTAAATATATTCATCTATAAAATTAAAATAATAGTGTTTTGCCTGATGAAAATTAGTGGTGGTCATGTAAAGTGTTTTAATAGTGGAAGATCCTCCCAGGGCTAATGATATTACAAGTCTTGACTCAAAAAACCATCTAGTAGGGAGTTATTTACTGTTTTAGGATGATGATCGCCTTTTCAGAAATTTTTTAAAGTATAGAATAAGCAGTACCAGACTCACCCTCTGAAATATTGAAATAACATATTTCATATGCACCATTGTCGCAGCTCTCCCATTGTCTGCCCAAAATCATCTTAAGAATAAATTTTTTCCATGTCTTTCTTTAAAGTACATGAGCCTAGTCAACAAAGGAGGGATTTTAAGTCTATGCTTAGGACTGTAATATCTAAAAACCTAATTATCAACAGTGTCAAACTAATGGGACCTGTACACAGTTTAGAGATTGAGGTGAGCACCACATTGGGACATTTTGGCAGAGGAGTTGGCCTAGGAGAGGGGGATCCCCACCACCCAACTTGGGTACCATAGCACTTTAGGAAGCTTGAACTTCCTAAAGGTCACTGGAGGTGATCTTTTGGTGCCCTGCTAACCCAGTTCCTATCTACTACCCTTTACCAGCATTAATGAACTGGTCATCTCAACAAGTACAGAGGCTTCAGACTATAAAATCAAATAGATACTTAAATAAAGATCCTGGGTAAAAAATCTAGAATTATACCCAGCTACCTGTAGGAAGGGTAGAAAGCCAACTTTACAAGAAAAGGAAGCTCCTTATCACAAACCCATAAAGACTAAAGTGAAAAGACAGAAGAACATACACAAATGCTGAAGAGGGGAAAAAAACCAATGAGAAGTCTCAATCCCACAGAACTGTCGAATCTGCCTCTTGAGGGGTTTAAGGTAACATTTATGACAATGCTTATTGAATTAAGAAAAGCAGTGGAAGCTATGAAAAAAATAGTAGAGAAAATATGAAATTGCTACAAGTGGAATTAATGTATCTAAAAATGTTATAACTGAATTTTTAAAATAGGATAGAGCATTAATAGGCAAATGTAAATAATGTGTAGAGTCAGCAAAATTGAATGCAGAGTGACAGAATACATATATATACACACCAAAAACAAAATAATAATGAAAGTGGTATAAGAGCTCTTTGGGATAATTTTAAAAGAATTAGATCCATATCACAGGTGTCCAGGAGACAAGAAAAAGAAGAACATAGGAAATTTATTTAAAGAAATAGTAGGGCCTCCCCGGTGGCGCAGCGGTTGAGCGCTGGGTTGCGAAGCTGCCCACAGCCTCTGCAGCGCCGGTTCGATCCCCGGTTGCTCCCCGGCCACCAGAGGAGGGTCCCGCATGGTGCGCAGACCTCTCCTGCCGCCCGCTGCTCCCCTCAGCAGTGTACTTCGGTCCTTCTGCCTGCTCTGCTCCCTGCTCTGGCTCTGGTGAATTCTCTCACCCTCCCGTGCTTCTGACTGTACCCAGTGCATGTATAAACATACAAACAAACAAATAAATAAATAAATAAACATGCCTCTATTTAAAAAAAAAAATTAAAAAAAAATAAATAAAGAAAGAAATAGTAGCTGAGGACCACCTTAATTCAGGAATCACTCAGATATTCTGATCCAAGAGGTCCAAACAAAGTGAGACCAAACAGACATACCTCAAATCACATAATTAAACTGTTGAGAACAAATGGCCAGGAAAGAATACTAAATGCATCAAGAAAAAAAAAGAGAGAAGACTACAAGAGAACATCTGTTAGACTGAGGACTTCTCAGTGGGCACCTTGCAGTTAAGAACAGAATGGCAAGATATATTTGAAGGGCCTCCCTAGTGGTGCAAGGGGTTAAGCTCTGCACTATAAAGCAATCCGCAGCCTCTGCAGCACAAGTTCAATCCCTGGCCAGCCAGGGAGCAACCCATATGGTGCAGCAGACCTCTCCTGTCTCGCCCGCTGCTCCCCTCAGCAGTGTGTTTCAGTTAGTCTGCCTGTTCTGTTCCCCACTCTGTCTCTGGTGAATCCTCTCACCCCCACATCTCTGGCCTTTACCCCAGCTCTTGTATGCATAATTCTTTTTTTAAAAAAAAAATAATTGAAATACTGAAAGCAAAGTATTTCCAAGCCTTCTACTCTAAGTCTTCTCTCTAAGTCTCTAAGATAATTTTATCCTTCCAGACTATCATTCAAGACAGAAAGAGGGGTAAGGAGCTTCCTAGAAAATACAAAAATCAAGAGAGTATATCTACACCAAGCTGGAATTGAGAGAAGTACTAAAGGGACTATTATAAAGTAACAACGACACTACTCCAGAGGTAACGGACATCTAAATTATACAGTGTGGAGGAGGAGAGTAAAAAGGTAGTCCATCAGAATGAATGTGAGATTAAACTATTTAATGGGCCACAAATTTAGACCACCAAACACAACCTTGATCATAACCCAAACCTCAGTATAACCCTCAAACAAAAATCAATAGAAGTAACACTAAGACAGGGCCTCCCCGGTGGCGCAGCGGTTGAGCGCTGGGTTGCGAAGCTGCCCGCAGTCTCTGTGGCGCCGGTTCGATCCCCGGCTGCTCCCCGGCCACCAGAGGAGGGTCCCACATGGCGCGCAGACCTCTCCTGCCGCCCGCTGCTCCCCTCAGCAGTGTACTTCGGTCCTTCTGCCTGCTCTGCTCCCCGCTCTGGCTCTGGTGAATTCTCTCACCCTCCCGCGCTTCTGACTGTACCCAGTGCATGTGCAAACGAACAAATAAATAAATAAATAAAATACATGCCTCTTTAAAAAAAAAAAAAATCTAAACAAACATATTTAAAAAAAAAAAAGTAACACTAAGACAATGGAAATGGAACCTAAACAAAGCATAAATGGAAGATGTCAAAAAATAAAGACAAACTAAAAAATACAAATAAAATGGCAACAAGCCCTTGATATCTAGTCATCTTAAAGGTAAGTAGCTTCCATTCA